AAATGAAGCACTGTAATGGATTAATGAAATGTTGAAGTTGTGATTGAAAGATTTAACGGATTTTTAACATTGAAAAGTTTTTGATTTAAGGTTAGCCTGGCATGTCTATTTATGGTATGACAAAAGGTAAGTAGATAAAAAGTTAGGAAATGACTACCTAAGAGCATTATTGATTAAGATTTGGGAAAAATACAAAGATAGATTATATTCAAAAAAATCAAATTGGATATATCCATCTGAAACATTTTATATAAAACAACTGGGAAAAGAAACATGGCCAATATATGGTCAGATACTAAGAAAATAAAATGAAGAAATGAAATTGAAATCAAAAGAAGAGATAAAGGAAATTGATCTAAACATTAATTGGTTTGAATTTATATATGGCCAATCAGGGGCAGCCTCCAGTGTCTGCCAAATGGCGGATAGGCTGCCCGCAAGGGAAGAACGGGGATGGGGGGGTGGGCGGGGTGAGGGAGATAACAGACTTCTCCCGCCACTCCGGGGACAGAAAAAAACTTGCCGGAGGGCCGCATTCGCGAGCCCCAAATGCCCAGGTTAGGCCTAGAACTTCGAAAGTAAGATATGTAAGTGAATTATTATTTTCAGGCAACCGTAATTTCAGCACTAGCAGGAAAAAAAGACAAAGAATTACCGAGTGCTAAATGTGATCAATAAATGATCATTCGTCGAAAATAAAATTGAATATGAAGATATCTTTAGTCCCTTTCTTATTTTACCAACTGAATTTTAAAATTTGAAGGGAAATCAAAATATTTGCATTGATTTTTTGTCCTTCAAACTACTTATGCTTTGAATATTTGATACTTCTTTCATCCAAGCAGTAATAAGAAAACTGACGGATAAATTAAAGTTAAATTCAAAAAAAACTTTATTCAAAATCAAATTAACACTTTCGTTCCTTCATCCCACAAAATCAATTGCAATAAACTTACTAAACTATAAGAAAAGCAAAACGAATAAAAGGAAGTTAAATATGGAAGAGAAAAGGCTGCACTTTCCAACAACTGAAATTCTAGCACTAGTAGAAAAAAGAGGACAGTAAATATCCGAATGTTAAATTTGATCGAAACCAATAAATGTGAACTTCAAAAAGTTTCGGTCAAAATTTTTAAAAATTTCTAGAGAAAACGAAGAATTCATGAAGAAAGAAATATAGCTGTGATCCTGCAATACTTAACGAAAAACTGCAAATTGAAAGTGGCTTTTTTTGAAAAATCGAAAAAAAGTTTGTAGATGGCATAAGTTTACTTTCAAGGAAGTAAATAGCCACATCACGCCTTCAAGCATCTGTTACTATTCTTTTGCCATGTTCAGGAAAGGATAACAACCTTGCTGGATATATTCCGGTGTTTGGTATTCATTTTGACATTGACAATCATGTTTATCCAGCTTCCATATACAGCTCCTATTTCCACCCTTAGCATTAGAACATGAAACATCATCATATGAGACCACGCGACCAATTTGTTGAAATTCCTACAAATACCTTATGAAATGAAAAGCATTTAATCAAAAGTATTATCCACAAACTGCAAGAATAAGTTTTGAGCTCAAAAGAGCGTCTAAATCACTTTGAAAATTCCCTCAAATATCGGGTAGGATGTACTGCAATTGCAATATTTGTATCCAATATTTAATAAAATTCAAAGAGCTCATCAAAGTATACTGTCGTTCCAAATACTATTTATCTTTTTGTAATTTACATGGACAAATTGAGATGCTTATGTTGGGTTTGCACTCTTTCAAACTGACTACGGTTAATTTAAGCATCACCTTTCCTTCATAGCTTATAATGAATTAGTAAACTCAAATGATAACAGTCTAAGTTTTGCAATTTTATCACTTTCCCAATAATTTAAAAAATAGGCTATTCATTGATTATATCGTTGTCTAATCAATAAGACCAATAATGGACCAGCAAAACGTCTAACTTCCATTTCTATAAAATGACAGGTTAGGCTTTAATTCAGGTTTTCATCACTTCATGACAAAGCATGAAGTATGAGCATTAACTTCTGGCTAACTCCTAAACCATAAAAGCTGATTTAAAATGTATAAAGCCCTAAAAGACTTGAAAATTGAAAATTTAATAGTAAAAATATATTAATAAGAAAACACTGGTTGGAAATCTTTTTGCTATATTTCAATAATTTTTAAAACGAACGATTGTACCATTTTGCGCAAGAAATTGTAGACCAGACCGACAATAAAGCTTGCTTTGTTACTTTTTATTTTATTCAATCTAACTTCGGTAGGAAATTTTTAAGACAGAAGAGGTGATATCATTGTATCAACTCGACAAAAAGTGATCAGATTCAGTTTCAGTAGAAAATACTACACATATGCATCATGTTGCGAAGCACATTTTTTCAAACATACCTTGAAAAGTTCAGAAAATGTATGTCCATTAATAGCTAGTCGTTGTACTGCACCTCGGAATGGTACCGCAAGTTCTGCTACTGCACTCGGTAAAATGGTTTTGTTTGGAACACCGCCAATGAAAGCTACTGCACCACTAGTGTCCAAACGTGAAGAGCCAAACTATCAATGACTAGTGAACATTTTCAGCAATAATTCCTAATTTACATTATATGGAATCCTGATAGGTAAGTCAGGTTTTAAAGACCCCCAGTTTCCAGGTTAAATTTGTAGCCATTTGATAATGCATATTTTACATATGGATACATACGGATGCTTCGGATCTCCATAGTGGATTGTAATAGAGTTAGTCAAAAACCTACCCACACACTTCAGAATTTCATTTTTAATTTTGGAAAAAAGTATTGCATATCACACAATCCCAATTCTTTGGTCCAAAATTAACTGTTAAAGAAAAGAATACAAACGAAGGCATCAACAAACAACTTGAGAGATCTGGGTTTGAGCCTGCTCATTATCAATTTGAGGCGAACCATTGCGTGAATATTTCCCAAAGCGGATCGAATAGAACCGATCATTTAAAACTGATGCATTGGATCTGAATTATGAGAAAATGTTAAAACTGTTGAACAAGATAATTATGAAATTCAATTGACAAGTAAATTAACGAGACGAGACTTACCTGGACCTACATTACTATTGAAATCAAGCATCTGAGACTAATCTATCTTAATATCCGGTATACCTTTCCTAATACCTGGTGCATTATCCGGAATATCAAATAATCGAAAACAATGGTTCAGCAATATCTTATTCAAGTAGTAAAGTTATTGAATACTGTTCTGTTTTTTTCGGTCCTTGTTTCTTACCAATCCTTTTCCTGTTCTTTTTTTTTCTCTCAAACTCTGTTTTCAATAATGTGTTCGACAAGACAAATAGCCTTATTAAGACTCAACGAGTCATATTAATTGCGAATAATGCAGTCCCTCAATTCCATGATAAACAGCAGCTTAATTTCATGATGGAATGAATCCCTCTGGGTATAAGCTAATCATTAGAATAAGCTAAGTTAAATGAGACTCATCCACCGATATCTGTCAAGAATGTTTCACCACAAAGATCAATGAGCAGTGAATGGAACTCGCTAGAAGATTCCTTCTAGCCTTCCGCGCTAATACATTTTAACAGTTTTGACAAAAACACTGAAAATTCTAACAGTGGTAATAGCAATAATCTAGCAGTAATAATCCTTTGTCATTCTTTCTCGAACTCAAAATCCAACTTGATCGACAGTTTCTCAGCAGGTTTGAAATGAAGAACCCATAGCAGTGAGCTTCGGGAGTATATTATGGTTTTATAATGATACCAAAATAAAATATTGATAAATTACTTTACAATAAAAATACCTGCTATAAACGATCTCAGAACCATGATTCCAGAAGAAATGCAGTTGTGAAGCGACCAACACTAATGCTACGAAATTGCCCTTTGTATATTGCTCTGCTGCAGTGTCTAGATTAGCCAAGCAGAATACCAGGCCATCTGAATCCATTGCTTTTAACCATACCTCTACTTTTAGCTTTCCCTCAAAATCCATCCTTAACTTTTCCTTCATCAGAAGACCATCGCCAACGAACAGTGGAACCGCTTGATTCGATTTCATGGCTGCAACAAAACTCATACCCATCGATTTAAAAAAAAGAAAAATCAACTTGCAGTGCAGTACTCATTTCCCCCTAATGTCATCCTTTTTTTTTTTTCGAGCCATATAATTAATATTGGACTAACTTCCTCTTACTGTCCAGTGATTTCACTTTCATTTCTAAATAGTTTTATAATTAAACATACTTAATCGTTCTTCACTGATTATTCTGGCGTTAGATGAATTATCGCCACAGATTTCATTACATTCACATATTTGCCGCTCACAAAGTTGACCTGCAATTCTTAGAATTAAAACCTTAATTCTTGACTGAAAATCTATGAACGGGACAAACTTTTAATGATGATGGGAGATCAAAGAAAGGAAGAGTTCACGATTTCAATCAAATATTTCTAACTCTTTTACTCTGATAAGTTCATATTCAAGAAATAATTCTTACAAAAGTTGGATATTACTGATGACGAGCGGTCGATCAGCAGAGGAGTATTTTATTTTGTCAAATTGATAAAAAACAAATTACGAATTTAAGTGCTCGTAATATAAAGAAGCATATTTCAATTATTACTTCCCGTTGCAACAGTGCGTTTCTGTTTTTTTAAGTAATAATGAAAGGGAGAGGAGAATTTGTATACGAATTCAAAATTCATTGTGGTAAAAAATAAGTGGAAATTTGATAATTCCACGATTAGTCGAAGCAAAATGTCAGTGAACAGAAGAACCATTAAAGTGTTGAATACAGCGACATATCGGTTTAGTATTAATCATCGCATCCAATAAGCATGAGCTGCCATTTAAGCAGCTTTTTATGCATATACTTTGTGAACAGTGAGCTGAAAGAAAGTTTTTAAATGCAAGAAATTAACATTTAGTCCTTCCTAGCTTCAAAATAATTAACACTTGGACATATCACAGAACAAAAGATATCATATCATCACAGCGAAACATTCACTTATGACTTTATTATTCCATTATTATACTTAGTGAGATCTCAGTTTGGTAAAACAAATATATTTATATCCCGATTATCAGAAGTTATTATTTCGGGAGATCCTAGACATTGTAAATTTTGTGCAAACACAAAGGCTGTATACATCAGTGTTCCAAGGTTGCATAGGTAAGACAATATCGCCTGGCAGTTGGTTCCACTGCACTTTTTAGTGATAGAGCAGTTATTACATTATCATATTGAGGGAAGTTTAGATGAACGGACCTCCCAAAATATTGTTATGATGCCAATTATTATAGTGGTATAAAATATCTCAACTTCATCCCTTCTCATATCACTCCTTGGCTTACTTAAAAATTCTGAGGTATCATTTTGGGTCTTCACATGATAAATTGTTACACTTCGAAATACCTCTCATTTATCCAGGTCAGTCAAACAAATAATAATTTGATAATATCCAACGTCCAGCAAAATAGAAAATATCGCTGTAGGAAGGAAAATCGAAATGACGTAGTGAAAGAAATCAACACAAATGAAATTTATGTGAGTTCTGACCTAGTCAAATACAGAAATCTTACCAATATTACCCAAAAATTTCATGCCTGCTTTGGATATTTTGCGCTCATTAATAAAAACATTCGATAGACAACCCGTAAAATTGTTTAACGTTATCGGCATTAAATGCGAGCTGTAATGCAAATTTTGTTTTTCAGATTTATGTTAAAGTTTTCTGTCAATTGTCATGACGTGAAAAACCACTTCAAAAGTTGGAAAGTGAGCAAAAAATTATCAAACGAATTCAGAATTCAAGTTTTTGGTCAGAGCTGGTTGAATAATAAGTTTTCTCTGATAAAAATCCTTAATAAATTTCAAGAAGTACGTAAAAATTACGAAACAATTCATTTTACTTTGTTTTGTGAGTCACAGCATGATCTTTGTCAATTAAAAAACCAGCATTAATTTAATTTTTAATATAGCTTCTTAGCTCATTGAATTGAAGATACGAACAAGACATACCGGAGAAGTTTCATCGGTGTGTATCCCAAATATATAGGTGCGTCAATTTTAATTGGATAACTAATAACCGCGGGTGGCAGTCTCAAAAGCATTGGAACCAAGTCATCGATAGCCAATGAAACTTGATTACGCAAAAAACTAACTATGACTCTGTATGAGCGATTCATGTCTAGCAGTGATTTCCATTCCATAACAAATACTTCACCACTCACCGAGAAACTAAAATGCATTTACAAATACGAATATGTTAATAAGCATACAATAGCGCTTTGTACAGTAATTTGTACAGTACTTTTTATATTCAGGTTTTTTTTTGTACAGTAAACACATAATTAAGCAATGAAAAATCATAATGAAAAAGAAGAGTGGTTGCTTGACCGCGGTGAATGACTGCTACAATCAAAAGCCACCGGTTGATATGTTCCAGGGTAAGACTTTTCTTTTCATTTGAAACAAAAACTCAAATGTACTGAGCACCGTTGCTATACACTTAACTTATTCTTATACCTAAACGCTTCATTGTTAAACGTACGCTTCATCAATAATAATACAAACGTAAATAACTCGAGCAGATAGTCTAAATAGTGTACGACGTGTATAACGTGGAAACAGAACGAATCATTCACGTTTTTCTTGTTGCATACATCATTACAATAGCAGTCAAAAATACATACGTTAAAAACTTTCTGCTGGTTGAAACTAAAAAAATACCTGAATATAAATTTAGATTCTGATAATGATAAAAGGACGGAACCATTCATTTTATTCAAATCACTGTAAAGTAATACTCCCGAAGTATTGTGCGCTTGAACCTGTTGATAAAATCAGATTATTGAAATTAGAAGACGAATTCAATAAAGATTGAATGATGGATCTTCTGAAATGTAACAATTCGTACAGTACTAAAGGGTTCTTCCACTGACATTAATTATTCAAGCACCTAATCATTTTAAGCTTAGTAATAAATTGAACGGTAAAACATCTCTTAACGATATCTAAAAAAGACACCTACAACATTTCCCTTGCAAGTAACCCCCAGTTCTATTTATTAAAACAGTAATCAATTACCAAAACGTAACACTAAACCTGCATTTGAACTGAAAAGAGGCGATTCAACGATTTCCTGATAATAATTTGGATTCCGGAGGATCCATCCAACAACCAGGAGCTCTTGTCACTATTATTTTTTTCTATAATGAAAATCACTTAAACGATATAAAAATCGTATCACTCTCTTTTCAGAATGTGTTATTTCGCGGAAATTTAAATCCCTAAAATTTAAAGTCTATTTCTTAAAAAATTATAATTTATGAAAACATTTCAAAAAACTACCAATGACATAACGTTCGCTATATCAGATATTATATCATAATTTTTTGGCAATTAACATTAATTTCGCTTACCGAAGGAAGAACCATAAATAAAGGATACTGCTTCCTAGGTTCTATGTTAAGTTTGAGATCTGAGACATGAAATTCGAAAGTATTCCATTGATGTAATAATAAGATAAAAATGAAGTGTTAACAAAGGTTAAAAAGACTGCTGCTACATGTTGTTATTTCGAAGTAAAGCAAACTTTATGTAAATTTATTTCAAAAATCAATTTACCCAGGAAAGGAGATGAAAAAGACCTTCTAACCTTGTATACAATATGTCAAATCCTTGGACGGAAAGAATCCTTCCCTACACTTGCAGCTCTTCAATCTCGAGAAATTCAATTCACCACAGTATGCATTAAAAATTGGACAGTCGGTATTATCTACGCACAGATTTCCCAGAATTGGTGTTACATCTAATTTACGCCCTCGACGGCGTTGCGTCTCACTATCATCGTTACTAATGTCTGAAATATATTTTTAAAATTTGCAAAAGTGGAATATTACAACTAATAAGATTTCCCGCTATCTCAGGACATGCTGAAAATCTAAATCAATAATCAATAACTCTCAACTCCTGCATGATTTATGGCAATTTCTTTGTTTACCACATTGTGAAAATAATAATAATGCTCACTCATAATCACAATAGCTATAAAACGTTGCTCGTCTCAGATCTAGTTTACAGCTATATACAAAATACAACAGATATCACCATTATTATCATCGTCGGTACCACAAACAATTATTATGAATTTGAGAGCGTGAAATCTATCAATCATTATAATACAGTGGTGATAAAGAACACCTTTTGGACAGATTCCAAGCACCGAAGGAACTAAATCCAGTTGATGGATACATGCAAACTGCTGCAGTTCGCAGATATTACCATAAGTATTATTATCAGATCCACAGACAGTCATTTCAGCTACTACACCAAGATGATCCAATGAACATTGCTTGGAGCACTTACAAACTGGCGTTCCAGATAATGCAATCACACATACAGCTCCATGGTGACAACGTAGTTCGTTGCAGTCTCTTAAAATTATGATCCGGAATTATAATTCCTAATCCTTGTTCATCGTACTTACCAAATTCCCTCTTTCCCAGGATCAGGGATATCAATCGTTAATCAACATGATGTAGTTTTCAATGCACCCTGCATGATCCAGTTCATTACATTTCTTATCACTTCTATTAATTAATGATATATATATTTCCTTAAAATTATAGTCACTAAGAAAAAAAATCTTTCATGTCTTATTACACTGGTAAATAGAAAGACTATACAAAACTTCAGAATCTACTTACTGAGATCAGCAAGGTAAGTACTACTTCTAATTTTTAAATAGTTGGAATTTTATAATTCCTCTACCTTAAAAAAAAAAAAAAACGATTTGTACGGCTGAGTTACAATTAGTAAAGACTGTCTTACTTGGGGACGTGAAATTCTGTCTTTTTCGAACAACCATTTGAAGTTAAAATAGAATCCGAGCCACAGGAGTCACATTTTACACCATATGAATCTGGTTTGCATTGACAACGACCAGATGACTGTTCGCAATCAAAGCGCGAGGAACCAAATGCAGAACATCCGCATGCTGGAAGATGAATTGAGCAAGAAATAAAACAGGTAGTATCTGAATCATAATTTTAACCAGAATGTCTATATTTCTTGATGATCCAGAAAATGGCTTACGTTGACATCCCAAAGCACCTTGGGCTATCAGATGCAGTCCCCAAAAACCCGACACGCAATGATCACATTTCTTGCCACCCACACCAGGAAGGCATCGACACTGTCCGTGTTTATCACACGCATTACTGTAGGATCCAATGCGGTTGCAGCTGCATTCATCTGCAAAATTCCTTTACCAGTAAAAACGAACAAAGAATATAGTGAATAGAATAAAGTGTTCAGTAATGTTCAGTAACAACTAAAACGAAGCATAAATTTGCGCGCATCAATTTTTAATTCTTTTTTCCCTTTTACAATACAACTTTCCTACTCCTTCTTCCTAAAGTTCTACTTAAAAAGCACCGCTGATTTAGTGGTAGATAGACTTTAAAAGGTATATCCAATTTCACATTAAGAGCTAAGGAAACTGAAAGAGTAACTTCCAAATATATCGTCCTGATTCCCATCATGTTGCGTTTTACCACCGCATTTCCTCTGGTTAAATTGCGCGCTTGCGGAAGAAAATGTAGAAAAAGATATGAAGACAAAATTTTATAATAATCAGATGTCAATTTGTTGCAGCATGTCATTATGTCACAGAAAACGTTGTATGATATATAGAGGGATCGTGGAAGTGTATAATATTAAGGAAGAAATCTACAAAAGATCTGTTTCGATTCAATACCTTACTACAGAAATAGTGCCAACAGCCAATAGTATTACTACTACTATCATAATGACAAATATATCGGTTTTTATTGTTTACAGAAAGCCAAATTTCATGAATCATGTTGCATTGTAGACATTTCTAACGTTGGAGCAAACAGCTTCCACACCATTTCTTGCGGAGATTTCAATTATTCCGCGATTTCAATTGAAATTACACAAACATACATCGGATAGATGGTTCTCAATGAGCATTACACAAATGCTACCGAAGGAACAACTATGTTTGTCACAGTTATTATCGCCAAGAAATCACCTAAACAACAGCCGAACTAGGGAAAGAAGCTACTTTATGGAAATTTTGTAACAAATCACTCAACTACCATTCTTCCCAGTGAAAACTTGGGAAAAAAAAGGTCAGAAACAGCGTAAATAATTTGAAGTTCTCCATGTTCATCATGGCTGAGCTTAAGCCCATCAAATGCGGTTTGTAAATATTACTTGATTTGGTCAGAAATCATTGTAATCCGGTAATATATCAAATTAAATTAATCGAATCGTTTCTCTTCACCTCAAAAACTTCCTTTTTTCTCAAATTAAAAACAACGTAGTTGAAGCGTTAAAACGGTTTGCAATCCAACATTTCAATTCGAATCAATGAGCGCCCATTCACATGACACCATTTCGTATCAGAACATAGCAAGCATTCAGCACTAAGACATCAATCAGCAGTGCGAAATGCGCAGATTTACATAACTAATACATGGCAGCTATTCTATTTGCTAAAAACAAATCCATCAGCTTTTTTAGCTTTCGAAGGATCTTGTGCTTTTGCTGTTGTTGCTGCTGCTTCTGCCCTTAGTTTTATCAAGGGCCATTTATAAACGCCTTTCATAGTTGTCATATGACTGAAGCATACTAATTCATCACGACCCAATATCATCTCTGTTATCAAATCTAACAGCAACCATCGCGAACAAGTAAATTCAGCATGGCTATTTCTAGTAAAGTATGGAAGGTTTTTCCGGAACGTCCAAGAATCGGTGAAGTGGCAGTATTTCTCGATTTCTGTCATGTGATAACTCCCTTGGTGTAACGTGTATCTGAATGGGTACAGATCTTCCTACTTTAAATCACTTTGCTATAAAGATTAGGAGTTACGTTTACATGTAAAGTTAGTTCGAAGAAAGACTAGTAGAAGAGGGACCTGGTAAAAAGATGAATGGAAAACTAGAAGAAATGAGGAGAGAAAGTGTAGATGCTATTTTAAGGATATCATCAGCATATCGAATATGTTGTTAATTATTTCTATTAAATTTCATTCAAAGAATCAATCGCTCAATTTGTATTAAATGTAACTTTAATTAGATCAGTGTATTATTGCAAGAAGTGCTGCAGAACTTTGCTCAAGTACGCAATACTAATTATTTTATGTCTATAAACAGCTACAATTCAAAAATAGCTAGTACTCTTGTAGTGATGGATTCTCGAAAATTGTACAGCAGAGATTTCATTTAAATTATTGCCTTAATATTATTATTCTTGTTACTTGAAGGTTCACGTGAATAAGCAAATATGTGCCTCAAGAAAAAAAAAAGGAAAATGAACGAACCATTTTGACGTAATGGCTCTTTACAGTTGCTGAGATGCTGGATGGATATTGCAAAACCTTTGTGACAGATTGTCATCTTCAAATGACATTTCGATGGATAAAGTATTCCGTCACTACCACATACCTTCAAAGTTTTTTGCATAAAATATAATCCTGAAATTTCACCCAAAAAACATAGACGATATTATTTTAATCTCTTTAAAATAAATTACCAAAGCGCTGCTTAAACATCACTTTCATCCCAAATAATTTCACAGTTACTTTCATACTTTCATTTCATTTATTCTTTTCTACTCTATGCCATCAACTTAGTCATTGGGAGAAGATAATTGAAATCTTACCGGAGATTTAATTACTCAAATATAATTGGATACTACTTTTCCATGATTTCGGTATTTCGCTTCAGATTAATGAGAACTTAAAACTTTACCATACCGTACTATTTTCGGTAGCATTTGGACAACTGCTTGGGCAGGAGCAAATGCCATCCTCACATTGTTGTCCATCAAGACAAGGACCATTCGAACAACTATCACAGGAACCGCGGAAAGCAATCATTACAAATTTTTGTTGCTGGCATGCAGCCTGGCGCATATGACACTCCGAAGGGTATGTGATACCATCTGTTGCGCATATCATCCCTAAAAATCCGTACTAGAAAGGTACATCCGGACAGACAGGCCAGTCTCATAAAACGACGAGT